CACCTGCAGTTATCAGCAACAGCTCATCTCTCCTTAACACAAACAGCCATGTGGCTGTACCTTGCAAAGTGCTGACCGCAAGCCAGACAGAGATAGGGAATTTCAGCTCAAGCAGCGTCACTCTACCCGGAGAAATACTCCCTTCAGTCTGGAGCTGGCCCGTATCCACCCAACTTCAGGCAAAGTGAGGTTCCTGTTAAATATTTTTCAGGTAGACTTCTCCCACACATTCTTGTGGTCTCTCATCTCAAAACACAGCAGTTAGACACAACCTTCTGTAACCTTTCCCTTTACCCATCATTATTTTGGTGATGAGCATTTATCCAGAAGTACAGCTGATTTCCACTCTCCACTGGGGGAAAAATGAAAGTGTCACCTTGCCCAACAATGACGACTGAGACTACAGTATCTTCTGTAAGGAATTTCTAATGGTATGCCTACCCCTCACCTATCAAAAACCTCCAATACATTTAAAGCTTTTTGTATAGTTTTCATGCTCCTGCAAGTTACCATAGAAGCTTACAAAGCACACCCACATATGCAGAATTCGGGAGCCTGTACCAGTACCAGTTCATAAATGATGGCAAGCAGAATACTTGCCTCTCCAACAAAGCAATACGAGGAGAAAGCTGGGCTGCTGTTATTAGACATGTATATGAAAAATAGGCAGCGACACTGCCATTTGCTTGCAACACAGTTTAAAATACACAAACTGTATCAAATGGTAACAATTTTAAGTTGCTGGAATACTAGCCAACTGAAATTGGACTCAAGCAAGAACTCGTCTAGCCAAAACCACTGCAAGCTCTTTAATAAGTTCACAGACAATCCTCTGGAAACAATTTGCTTCCAAAACAACATGCTGTAGTATCTGAAGGCATGATGCCAAATTTAAAATATTCTAATTATTTCTCATGGCAGGTACACAGGCTTCTTTAGAAGCCACTACATCAATAACTTACCATAGTCCTTAATTTCTAGTTCCCAAACAATGCACAAATGTTACTTCCTTCAGTCTAGAAATGTAGGAATTCATAAAACCTTCAGTAAATGAAAAAAATGCTCAGCTATTAACTCACATCCAGAAATAGAATCCAATTGGAAAATGCAGCTGGATACTACTAGAACAAATTTTTCATTTAATTTCCAAAAGGCAATCCATCCTGGGCTCATTTTAAGACCTTTCTCAACTATAAATGCCTCAATCAGCACAGTGTTTTAACATCCAAGTCTCAACATTTTCAATCCCTCATCACAACTATATGGGACCTTCAACTGTCTAGCCTGTGGATTTCATGAAACCCAGAATCCTGTTCAGAGAAACCAAAGTCCCAAAGCAAATCAATCCTTCAACTAGTTATAAATGCATCCGTGCTTATTTGTATCATAAAATAATCAAAGCTGTTACATTCAAGCAGCAGCTTTTTACCCCGTGTAATTTTCACCTGATTACCATAAGCTTTGATTTTCATTGTAATAAATTACACTTTTGGGGCTGCCTTAAAATTTCAACTGTATCATGACCGTATGTCGCGTCGATTCAGACGCGACCCTCCGGACACCATGGCCGGCCAGGCC